GCAAACTGTGAGTAGCCACTCCTTTGGAAGACTTATGCTACCTGTATTGATTTTTTTTTTTTAGTTATATAACTATCATGTCACTTGTTCATCTCCTTTTATACTCCTGATAATATTTGTCTTAATCTAGTTGTCTTTTTCAGTCTGTAATCACACTGATAACCCTTCTTAGGATAACTTTTACTGATGTTTATGTACTTCAAAATAACTAAGTAGAATTTAAGCCATTATGGGGAGATATTGTTTAGCTATTCTGTGGCATATAGTCATTCTGACTTTTGTCTAGTACAGGCGATTTTCCCCTATGACTCTGTTGACCCCTCTACTGTAAACGTATCCCTGTGAAATGCTCACTCTGAAAATTTATGTTTTCCTAAATGATAGACAGAATGTAGTGTTTTTTTCTGAATTGGGCCCTTATTTGCATAAAACAACATAGGGCTAAAAAAACTGGGATTATGCCATGAATATTGGAGTGGTAGATGAATTCAGCTGCCCAAAAAAGCAGAGAGAATAATCTACCTCTGCCATTAGAGATGAACACTTATTCCCAAGCACCAGTCCTAGGTTGAACATGCTTCATAGGAGAATTGCTTAAAACAGAACCTCTTTAAAAACAGTCTGTGGCCAGAAGCCATAGTATAACAGCTTTATTTGGCTTTCTTAAATCAAGATAAAACAGGTTATTTTCATTCACATGTGTATATGGGAGGAGGGGGATGTGTCTCTGTGCTCTTCATACTAAATCCTATTATAAGCCCTTCATGAAGCATTAATATGTAAAAGTCGACCTCCCGCCATCTAATCTAGTATAATAAGGGCTTGGATACATTATTAATTTTTGTCACACATCTGAGGCCCCCTTTTATCAAGCAAAACCCCCATCTAAATCCCTTGTTGCATCATTAAATTGTGAAAACAGCTTCATCATTCATGACAGAAAAATGGAAGAACTCTGAACCATATGGCAGAGGGAAAAGCAGTTCCAGCTACCAGTTTCCCCAGTCCCCTTCTTGTAAAGACTGGTACTTAAAAGAATCTGCAATGCAGTAGGGTGAAAAAAATCGTCTTGGGGTTTTTTTGTGCAATATTGGCTTCTTTGCCTGGAAACAGATGAGCCCCACACCAGTGCCAGGGATCTGAGACCAGTTCAGTCTGCAGGATTTTGGACTGAGTATGAAAGGTGGGGTTGTCAAGTGCAGCTCTGGAGGTGTTTCTCTCACAATGCAAGGTCATCTTAAGTCCTCAGAAGTTATGAAATTGGCACTTGTTTAATCATCCACTAATCCCCTATTCATGTTGTGAATTAATCATTGTTTGCAAAACAGAAAACGCACAATATACCTACCTGCTAAAAGAATGGAACAATTCCTCTTTTTAAAATAGAAAAATGCAAAGATGTGAACTTCTGGAACATCTTTCTACTTGTATTTCTAAACCAATACTTTACCTTAAATTGTTATGCTTGCTGTCATTAAAGCTGAGTTAAGAGAGATTCTGATTTCACTGACATGCTAATGACAGTTTCAGTGAAAATCTGTGGGAATCTGAGACAAGATGCACTGAGAGTTGTCTGAAATATCATTCATTTTATTCACACAAATAATCCTATCAGATTTCTTGCTGGGAAGAGGGATTTAGCCTTTAATAACAAGAAGAATGGCACTTGAGAAACAAAGATTAATTTGAAGTGAAATGTTAATTTGTATAATTTCATTCAGATTAGAATGATGATGACTGAGTTCAACATAGATCAGAGAGAATTGCATTATAGAGAAATGTAGTATAGTCATGTAATTACATTTTTTTAATGTGAATAGTGCCAGGTTTTGAGCTTTGACAGATAAGAGGAAATCTGTCATTACCACAGGTGATTTATATTTTTAAAAAATTTGTATTCTATTCCTTTGTGTCTCTTTGTGTCAGAAGGTTCTTATGTGTGAGTATACACAAATGAGCTAAAATGGTCACTCAGCTATGTTTTATAAAAAATAGTCTGTGATTATTGCAGATTTACTTTTGAAAGAATGCTTGGCACTTCTGTTTTAAATATATAAAAACTGGCATTTCTGTTTTAAATATATAACTGCATCAGGAATTGATTCTCTGTTGTGTAATCTAACAATGTCCTGTTAATTTCAGAGAATCTTTCCTGATTTACAGTTAATGTTTAAATAGTTCACTTAGGAAATCAGATACGTAGAGGATATTTAAAGGGTGTATCAGAAGCTTAAAATATAATGATATTTAAATTATCTTGAGGTGATAAAACCAAGTACAATTTCACACCTTTCCATGTGTGTGTGACAGCACAGCAGGTATTTTATTCGCAGTCAGCTGCAGTAGCATGAATGTGAAATAAGGAATATCAATTTGAATTAAATTATTAAATTTCTAGATTGAAAACAAGACGTGCTTACTAATAGGACCACGTAGCCTGAAATTCACTATGGCAACAGCCTTTAACATTTGATTATCCTTTATATTTTGCTTAATTATCACTCTACTGCAAACATTTAACAATAGCTAAAACATAATGGAACAGTTTAAACAATGAAAACAATGAAAAAAAACTATCACATAATTTCTCTGGTTGGGCCAGTGGTGGGTAGTCATTATTGTTACTATTTAACCTTTATTTTTTTTATATGGCTATCAATTGCTGATTCTTGTCATCTCTTTCCAGAGGACTAAAGGATATACTTATACCAAGCAATTTTTCCAGTGAAATTATATGCATACTTACAATCAGATTACCTCCTAGCAATATTTTTATATACATCTGTCCTGAATACATAGTTCTTGCTGTTTCTTTCACTAGGGATCACTTTATACTGTCATTTTTGAAGCAGTTAAAGATCTCTAAAGGAATCTCTAATTTTTCAATGCCCACACTAATATGAATGTGTCCAAATTACCCACAAAAATCCAAGAACAACATCATTGACTTAAATACACTCATTGCACTAAATAAAGAAAAATAAACATTCTAGGATTACACTGATTACTTTAGTAGAGCATTATGCTGGAAGCTTGTGATGTGTTTCTAGTCCCACATGGCTTAAGATCCCACTCAGTGAGACTGCTTTTCAGTGGTCCCTCCCTCTCTGGTGTTACTTTGTACTCAAGTGTCATATATCGAACAGCATTCAGTCAATCAAAAATTTAATATATTGTCTGATTGACTGGATCTTTTTGTACCCACAAGTTTACCAGCATTTATACATATTCCCAAATCACTGATGAAATGTGAAGACCACAGCAAATCTAAGCAGTATCATAAATATCTGAATCTTTGAAAGGTTCATAAACTCTAGCCAGATAATCATCAGTCTCCCAATGTGGTAAATATCACTAATCCGGTTAGTCACTGACTTGATTGTGAAAAAGACAAAAAGAAAAGAAGGGATTTCATCACACCACTTGGGGCAGATACCCCAAGTAACCCGGGTTCCCTACAGAATATATAGACAGAGAGATGCCTGAGGCATGAAGTGCTTCCACAGGAATAATGCCTAGCTAGATAAAATACATCTAGCTTAACTGGGGTAGTCCTCAGTTATTGTCATAAATGTAAATGTTTGTGAAGAAGAGAAAAATCTGATTTGAACACAACTTGTGTGCTTCCCGGCAATACTGACTTTTCCTGGCAATGACCCAGCCATTGTCTTGCAAATCTGTAGTTGCATCACTTTACATCTGAATTGGTTCAAATAGCTCTTCTGATGTTGTTTGAGTGAATGAAGACAGCTTTTGATTTTCTGGGTCAGATTCTGCAGCCTTTACTCAACCAAAACTCCAATTAATCCTGAGGAGTTACAGACTGTGTAAATATACAAAAATGATTAAAGGAGGAAGAAAAGGTAAACTCCTTTAAATAGCTGTTAATGGCTATTTGAAAAAGCCTTTTACGTTTCTGAGCCATTATCAGAAAGATGGCACTTGTAAACAGAAAGACAAATGGATACCCCAGTTTAAAAATGATGTGGTTTGATTTATTTGTTTTTAAGGGTAGGATATTAGTGATTTTCTCAGTTACAGAGCATCTCTCCTTTTGTAAATACTCGTTTCTACTGTAGATCTGTCTAAAAGATATTTATCTAGAGGACACCATTTTTTGCTTTAGCCACACTCTCTCCTTCCTCTCAGTCTCAAGCACACATAAACCATCTTGCTCTTCAGGCTAAGCCTCTCTGCCCATCCAGGCTTACCTTTAATGTTGCCCATCCTGAGAAGAGTTAAAGGTATATATGGCTGAGTTTAGTATCCATTTGCACTTAGTGTGGTCCTGGTTTGAAGAGTGGCACTAGGACCTTTGCTGCTTCTGCAAATGATGAGCCTGTGGCATTAAGCATCGATGTGAAAGCCTCATGTGTCTCGAATACTCAGTGGATCTAATTAACAGGTAGAATCGCACCCTGGGTGCTTGAAAAATTGCCAGACACCATAGAAACGAGTCCTTAAGTCCCCGGACCATCTGTACTTTCTTTTCATTGTGGAAGTCTCATTTAAACATGTTTTTCGACCATTCTAAATTAATTTATGCTTTAATGTAAAATTCCTGCTGACCGTTTTCCTTTCCATTAAAAGAAAAATCATAAAATGCTTTAATTCAATCACAGTAAAAAAAAAAAATCTCAACCCTTGATGAAATAATGTATTTTTGAACTTGCTTCTGAATATGTGCTGTTTGAATATCATTGCTACAACCTCCTTAAGTGACTGTCTAAAGGAAAAAGAAACCAACATGAGATACCCCAGCAAAACCAGGGGGTTGCTTGAAGGAGGGAGAGCAATGCACCATCACAGCGGAGTTCCCGGATCGCATGCAAGAGGTCCTTCCCTTCCTAAGGTAGTCCCTTTGAGCGGGGGTTAAGTTTCGAGGGTGCAGGGGAGCCCCGGCGGTCCGGAGCTCAACTCCGCTCCCCTCGCGCCGCCGCTCCGCAGCCCGGCCCGGCTCGGGCTCGGACGGGGCTTGGAGCTATTTAGGCGGTGTTTACCTGTTCGCTGCCAGCCGGGATGAGATATACCCTCCGGGGATCTGGGTGATTATGTATCCCCAGAAAAAAGAGCCGTGGATCATGCCAACTGTTTCGGGATCCCAATTAAACTTCGCTTTCTTCCAATGCAAAGGACCAGGACAGAAAGAGAAAAAGACAGGAGGAAGGCTGTAATTGTGCCACTCAGAGCTTTCACCAGCAGCAGCTTCACCCGTAGCGCAATCGAAGGGGTTCCGGTGCCGGCACCGGGCTCTGCCCCAGCCCCCCACGGCAAACGCTCGGACTGCCCGCCAGATAGGCAAAACAAACCCAGGAACAGCAATAGAACCACCACCGTCCGTGCCTCCCTGGTACATGAGAGGAGCAGGGGGACCGCGAGGCACGGATCACGGGGTCGGGCAGGGCAGAGCCGGGCATCCCTGGGACCCGCGGGACCCTCGGCTCACAGACACAGCCCTGCTCTGGCAGGGGCTGGAGGCGCACAGCCCGAACTCACCTCTTGCCTGTGCGGCCAGCGAGCCGTAAGGGGCGTTTATCTGTGAATCTGGGTGTTTAAGACTCATCTACATTTGTCACATCTTTCTCACCACACTTTTAACTCGCCTTAAAACGGCTCTATAATTTAAAGCCTTTTGTCAAAGCAAATTCACCCTGCTGTTTTCAAATATTTCTGCAAAACCTCTCCGCCTCCTTAAAGGCGAGGTACACCCGCTGACAGTCCCTTATTCGATACCCTCCTTCTCCCATCCCCTACGTTTATTTTAGGAGATATCTACCTTTTTCAAGGCTGTGTGAAAAAGATAGGGCGAGGGGCAAATTGCCAGCACAATAATACCACAAACTGGGTCTAGAAACTGAAATGAAAAAGTAGAAATAATCGGTAGAAATTGTTTGTGTGTCAAGAACGGGATTTCCGTCCTTTTAAGGGCACCAGCGGGGCAGGGCAGGGGGAGGGGGGCCGCCAACCCCGGGACCGGGGAGCATCGGCGTTCTGGTGGGGGGAAATGCGGCAAAACCATCCAGAGCCTGTCCCACCTGTGTTGAGGTGTTTCACTGAGTATTGTACTGGGAGGATGTGAGATTTACGAGAGAAAGGTTCCCACCTCTTTAATAACTTTTCCTCCTCGGTGTATGGTGCTGTTATTGACCATATCCACGATGGCCACCCCCAAATTACATCGGATCCCGAAGGAAATGCAGAATCCCAATCCACTCATGATGGCAATGATGTACCTCCGGGGCAGCCCGAAACAGGTACAGTCGCACAACGGGGCTTTCTTTTCGGGCACTTCCATAGGCTTTCCATCTTCTGTCAGCTCGATTGTGTCCCCTGGCTTCTGCCTCTTCTCTAGGACTCTGCCCGACACAAGAAGGGAAAGTCAAGCCCTGGCCGTCTGAAGGCACAACAATTTCGGGAAGCTGGAGGTTTAAATTCACCGTTCCCCTCACTCCTTTGGCTTGGAGATTGAGGATTTATTCCTTGCTTCCCATTCACCTTCAACTGTTCTTTAGCAATGACCTGTGGGAGTCACGATTAGTCATCCTCAACTCCCCCCGCCACCCCTCCGCAGCAGCCCAGGGAGGAGCTCTAGCTGAGAATTCCTCATCTATCATTAAAGACTTCTGCTTAAATACGTAGGACGTATCAAGAAGACATCATCTGTAACCACTGCAGAGGCGCCATGTTGGGCAGCCCAAGAGGCGCAGAAACAAAACGGGCTTCTAGAGGTTTTATTACCTCTTTGCTGTGCTAGAAGCACCAAGGGAGCGATCTTGGCGTGCACCTCGCTTTAGGTCTGGGAAAAAAAAGAAATGTTGAGCGAAAAAGACGGGAGGGACGAGGGAGGAGGAGAGGGCGATATTGCTATTTATTTTAGATTTGCAAAATGGCTGTCACATGCAGTGAAAGAAAACACAGCCAAGAACTGGCATCTCCGGAGAAGGCTTTCCCAAAGACCTCAGTGTTCAGCTGCACGTTGTGTGTGATCACTTAGCAGGTTTAACCTTCCCAGAGCAGCTTTAAGCGCTACCTTCTTGCCCCCTTGCTCTCACTCCCTCGGTTTTACTTGAAAATCGTGTTTCCTAGAAAACTATCTGAAGGGAAATGGTTGTTTGCAGCTATTTCCAATCAGCTGAAAAATACCATGAAAGGTGATTTAGAACTTTTTTTTTTTTTTTGAAAATTCTTTAAAATGCTCTCTCGGTAGCATGAAAAATCAGATTTATAGAGCACGTGTCCTATATTGAATCCCTAAACCTTCTTCTGAAGTCACTGAGATATTTAAAAACCAGAAAAGCTAACCAATTATGTCGTATTGAGAAGCAAATATGTGACCATTTGCCGATACTCTGGACTCTACAACCGCTGATCTCACCTCTGCTGTAGAAGGGCTTTATCACTCGGAGGAGCATCTCTTTCAGGTTAACTCATCCAGCTGATAGGGCACTAACAAGTAGCAGAATAAGGCTTAAAAGGTTATACGTGTTCGGGAGAAAATACAGGGATTTTCTGCAAAAACTACTCAGATTAAATTCTCCTGATTTTTCTGAGCATATAATTTCCACGCTTAAAGATCGCGGCATTAAGAAATAGCTTAAAAGTTGTGAATAAAATAAACCACCGTGGGTTTATGTTCAAAATTCGTTTGTGTGGATAAAGAGTAGGAGTGTTTTCTCGCTGAATGGGTGTCTTGTCTTCGGGAATAGACTGGAAATCAATGTGAAAGAGGCAAAAAAATTGTTTAGATTCTAAGAAGAGTAAACAAGTACTTAATTGCCTTGAGCTTAAAAAGATAAGCAAATCGCGAGTTTGTTAGTCGAGGTGTGAATTCAAACGGAGTTTTGCTGGAAAATACAAACACCGTTTCTCCATTATTCACTGTGTGACTACAAGTAGTAGAGATAGTAGTTTTATTTAAATGTTGTAAAGCCTTTAAGAATGGAAAAAAAAGGTTTATTTTCTTAATTATATTTTAAGCAGTTATTCTGGATTTTCCTTTCTTTTTATTATTATTAGTTTTCAGCAATTAAAAATTATTTAAATATAACCAAAAACTGTAGGAAATTAATTGCATTGTTGATGACTTTAATGACTTTTCTTAATGGCACACTTCCTATGAAAATGGAAACCTTAATTTTGTCTTTATCACTTCACTGATATGTCCCCTTCCCTTAAAATGGCAGCAGAAGTTGTGACTCATGCTGTGAAACAGCCTGGTGTATGTGCCCAGCACTGCCGCATAGGTATGGAAAAAAGATTTTTACGTGACCTACCCTGGGCAGACAAATCCGCAGTTACCTTATAGCTGCAATTCGGAAAAAAAAAACCAAACCAAAACAAAAAACAACAAACACAAACCAAACAAAAACCCCAACAAACAAACAAACAACCAAAAAACAACCCCCCCCCAAACCACACACACAAAAAAAACCAAACCAACCAAAACACACATACACACACACACACACACACACACATAGACAACCAAAACCCAATCCAAACTAACAAAACACCCCAAACCAGACCAAATATTTCGGGGTAATTTCTAGCAGAAGGTACAATCGAAAATTTATTGGAATTTCACATATTATTCTCAAACGTTGTGGAGGTCACTAAAATCACCAGATTGGATGGAGAATGATGTGTGAATTTTAGTGCCTGCACTTCTTAGGTATGCAAAAATCTGAGTTTATTTATCTGTGTGCACAGGGCTCTACGATGACAGAAATATTCTTTACACACAGAAATATACAGGAGTGATGCTTTTGAGTTTAGCAATTGCAGTGGTATATCATTTATAGGACAAGCAGATGCTTCTAAAGGCATATGGATGAATAATTAAACACATTCCTCTATATGTTTCAGCTTCAGTAGGAAAAAAATCGTTTGGATATCAATTATTTATACATCTCCATGTTTACTTTCATCTGATGATGAATTACACGAAGGACAAGACTAATCAAAAACAGAATATATATATATATATATATATATATTTAATACCTATTAAGGCCAGAGGGCAAGATCCTGTGAGGACATTGCAAAATTATGATGGAACAAAAATACAGGTTGCTACTCTCTCCTGATTATGATTTCAATATGGGATCCTGTTTTTTTGGAAGAAAGGTGGGGTGATCTTTTACTACATCTTTACTGACACCATCTACGAATCAGATAGAGAAGTTACGAGGGTGCCATATTGAGAAGCTTCAGCACTAGTTTCCAGGATCTAGATTATATCCAGCAGAATCACAACAGCTCCCAACCCTGCCACCGCTAACCTCCCCAAAGCATTCTACCTCCTGCAGCAATGGACGTTTAAGAAAAGCTTCCAATTTTGGGAGGGAATTACAATCCTGTAAGAGATATCGGTCTTACCTGTAGAGCTGGCCAAGCGATTTTCCAGCAAAATTCTTCAATCCTTCCTTGCCGGGAGTCAAAATCCTTTGTTTTACCGACTCCATTCCTGAGGGGATGCTCGCTGGATAATGCTCTGCACTGGATACGGCACTGCTACGAGCAAAGGTGGTTCATATTGGTTTAATCTCTTAACTTTTCGTCCTCATTCAATGGCTATCGGTGCACCTACGGATGAAGGGAGAATGAGAGGAAGAGTGCGCGCGTGTGTGTGTGAGTGAGGTGGAGACGGCGTGCGGAGTCGGGGGGGGCGAGGGCGAGGGAGAGCGCCTGTGTGCGGCAGCGAGAGGGGCGTCGGAGCGCGCTGCAGGCAGCCCCCGGGGTTCCCGGCACCACGGAGTTGCCAGTCACGGTCAGAAACTCTCCTCGGCCTCGCAGGGTT